AAAAAAAAAAAAAAAAAAAAAGGAAGGGAAGAGAAATTCTTTTCGAATCGATACAAATAATATAAGGGGAAATTATAATCCTCCTCCCTGAAGATCAAACAATTTGAAGAACAAAAACTTTTATAATTAAAAATAATTTATTTGTTTTACTTATCTAATAAGAAATCCTAAAAGAAAAATTAAGAAGTTGAATTTGAAAAAAAATTAATAAGATCTTTAAATGGTTGGCTAGACAAAAACTCTTTAAATTTTCTTGTACATAATTTAATAATCCATAAACTAATTCCTTTGATGACCGAACACGAAAAAATTTAAACACAACTAAATCCCAACGGAGGAAATCTTTGAAAAACTTTTTTTTGGTCCATTTAATATTGCACATGAGGAAAGCTCAAAGCATGAGTCAAGCTTTACTAAACAAGCTTGAACTTTATGATATTTGTGCAAAGTTGGGCCTCGGCTATTTTAATTTTTTTAACTGTAAGACAGTGAAAATAGAGCTAGTGACTTAGAGCTACGTGCTCTCTTTACCGCTCCAAGTGAGCAACACCAGTGTCTAAATAACAAGCGATAAATGATGAAGAATTAAATTAAAATAAATATAAATATAATAAAGGGTAAAAGGTATTACAAAGATATATTTAGCTCTTAGGACAACTAAATGTTCTAGATTGTGGAGTACATTTGATAGAATATAAATATAATTTTTGTATATAAGGGCTAATTATATTTTGGATAAGAATCAGAGATAAGATTAGGAGATTTTATTCTTATTCCTTCACGAATAGTTATCCATTAAGGAATTTCTTAACTACATATTCTAAATCAAGGTCTTTTTAGCCTCTGTACGTCTCCTTCAAGTCACCATCAAAAACAAAATAATCAGATTTTTCTATAATCAGATGCAAAATGCTCTAGAAAGAGGAAAAAACTTTTGAAAGTAAAAAGAAGAATGCAAACGAAATTGATTTAAAAAAAAAAAAAACAAGGTTATATATAAAGAGAACTGACCTGCATTTGAAGTTGCTTGACAGTCCTGTAAAATATAAATAGAATGAATTATTAAAAGGAAAAATCAATGACCTTTAAAGAAGGAAAAACTAATGACAATCAAATTAATTTGTATAGTATAAACAAAAACAGGCATGAAAGTTTGAAACATAGGTTCAGCAAATATACTGCGATATATTCCTCTTTGAATAGCCATTGATCATAATGGTTCTTTGATCACTGCAGCACCACACAAATGGCTGTTGAGAAAAATTGCCCTACAGATATTTTTATCATTGATATAAGCGATAAAATATATTAGGTTATAGGAAATAAAAATGCATAATTTTAAATGATTTTTAATGGATTAAAAAAATTCAAAAATTTAAAAGTTAAGTTTTAAGTTGGCATTAGAATGATTAAATTAGTAAACATATCAATATCATATTTTAGATGTTAAATTGAAAAAATTTTTTAAAAAATTAAATTTATGCCGCATCAAATTACAGAAAGATAATATAAAACTTAAGAATTTTTAAAAAAAAAAAATTTAAGCAAAGACAGTAATTTGACTTTTTTCTTTGTTTCAGTTTTCATACAAATATATACTATCAGATTAGTCTTTTAAGGGTTTTTTAAGCATATAAATATCTTGCTTTCAAGTATTGCAAAGAATAAATACAGTTCAAGCATTATGCAAATTGGAACGGCTAAACCATTCTAGATAACCACCAATCAAACTTTTCGTTACCTGTAATATTGCAATTCTAAAATGAATTTTAATTTCCCACACACTAAATTTTAAACTTGTGTAAAAATTGCCATCCTAATTACAAATTGTCAAAATAAAAAAAAATATAATAAACGGGGGACCCATAAATGGAGTCAATTAACACCACCTTGGATTAGGCCTTACTAAAAAACGCAGACCGTTTAGGGATAGGAGAACGTTTACCCATCTAGCCCCTTCATGTGCAATTTGTTCTCTCTCTCACCGTAGCCTACGACGACGTCTCCCTCCCTCAAGTTCTTCATCCTGGATCTGTATTGCTTCTCTCTCTCTCTCTCTCCTCTCTCTCTCTCTCTCCTCTTTCCTCACACCTGGTGGCCCAGGGGCCATAGTATCTTTGATTATGAGAGGACCTTGGATCTGTTATTTGATGTCTTCTTTGGTCATGAGAGCCCGCAACAAAAGCGAGCGCAATTTCCTTCGAATTGTTAGAAATGAAAGCGACCCCAGCAGAAAGGGAAATTTAAGGCGATTTCTTTCAATGACTGGACTCCTTCATCGAAATTGAACTTTCAATTCCCTATCGCTTTCTTTTCTATATACGCAAGACTTTCAAATTTAAGCTTGTCGGACACATGAATTCCAGAATCTTCGAATCAAAATCCCGAAAACCCCAAATTCCGAATTATTTCTTATCTAAATCCTCGCTTCGTTTATTTTATCTTATTAATAATCTTTTGATTCAACAATTCGTGTGATTATTGGATTCTGGATTCCGAATTTCAATAATGGGGACCCGCACTTTTCCGATCTGGTAAACATTGCCCAAAGAAGATCCCAATAGCTTACGGTGATGCATTCGTTAGAAACCGTTGGTTTGGTTTCAAAAACATTAATTCGGTTATAAAAAAACAATAGTTTTTAAAAATTAAATTTCGGGTTATAAAAAAATTGAAATGGAACTGTTTTTAAAACAGTTTTTTCGTACGGTTTTAAAATCACTAGTTTTGAACTAATAATTAAATAGAATATATTTTAAACTTTTTTCAAATATTTTTTTTAAGATTTGAATAGCTTGAAGAAATAATTATTATTGAACAAAACTAAAATTAATTTAATAAGAAATTTTTTTAAAAAAATTACTTAAAAAAACTATAATAAAAAAAAAGTTTAAAAGTTTTTAATTTAAGAATATATTTTTCAAAGGGTTTCAAATCGAAAATCGTAATTTTTAAAACCCAAAACTATTGATTTCGATCTAAAAAAATGAAAAATCGAAATCATATCTTAAGTTTACGGTTTTAATTAAAATTTAGAACTAAAATTGTTGACTCAACGTTTTTTTACTACCGATTTTAATCGATTCGATTTCATTTGAAACGCGAATCGTGGTTAATCTCTACACAGGTGCACATGGGTCTATGATTTTTTTTGATACTATTGCAATTAAATGGCGACAGACCATCCAACTTCTGTACCAGCCATGCTTATAAACTGTGGTCCAAAAATTTTAAAGAAAGAGCCGTGTGGAGAGAGAGAGAGAGAGGAATAGTTTGAGAAGAGAGGCCGTAAAAAGAATAGGGTTTGGGGTTTAGAATAACCAAAAACGGCATCGTTTAAGAACAAACTAAAGTTGGATTAGTTAAACTTTCACATGGGTCCTTCTTGTCATTTATTATATGTTTAATGTCAATTTTTGACTGAATTTATAAATTTAGGTATAATTTTTACGTAAGTTTGAAATTTAGAATGTAGAATGTCTGCATCTGCAAGGGTTAAATTCATTTTAAAGTGTAATTGTTACAAATTTGTCAAAAGTTTGAGAGTATAGGAAATCGTTTAAGCTGCAATTAATTCAAAGAAAGTTGAAGTTTCCTTTTGATTATTTGTTAAACTTACTTTCAAACTTTAACAAAAAATTAAAGTTGTGGCTTTTAATTCTATGTTGATATCTTTAGTTCATACTTCTAGTTAAATATTACAATTAGGATTCCATTTTTTCCATTCAAGAAGAATTTTCCTATTTTGAGATTAAAGTTTTCTAATTGGGTTATAGAGTTTTAATATATCAAATCCCATTTTGGATTGTAATTTTTCAGGCTCATCGGGTTTAGTCTCTTTTTGAACCAAACTAACGAATGCCACCCATACACTGGTTAGAATCAAGCCATGGCAGTGCACAAAGTGTGCACATACACATTTTTAGAAATCAAGCAGCAATCAAACCTTTCAATGCTCTATATAACAATGCAATCAGAAAAACGTCCTATGAAATTTTCTGAGTTTTGTTCGCACTTACTACTTCAGGAAAACAACTAAAAACAAAAATTGTTGAAATAATCCATATAGGACAGTTTATATCACCTATTCATTACATCTTCCAACAGAAAACATCTTGCATATGAGAGGTATGCGGAGAACTGAAAGACATCACAGATCACACGAGGTAACTTCCTCTGTCATGAAGACCAGCTGGAATAGAAGAAGCTGCATAGTTTTGCATGATTATCTCTTGAAACAAGGACAACAGTTTTAACTTCTCCATAAAACATGTGTCCTCCTATCGAGTAACTATGGGCATCGGTCTTTAAAGCTGTGATCTTCTAATGATTTAATGAATTCCGAATGGATACAACCCAAAAGTTTGATGGAAGCATCTTCTAATTCTGGCTAAGAAATGACTTCGAATGAAGATCTCAGTCACTTGAACCTTCGTATTTTCTGGGAAGACAAGTATTGCAGTCCTCATTATCTCTAAGCGCTTGAACAAGAGCGCAGCTTTGTACACAAACATCCCAAACATGGCAGGGAACAACTGTGAAGAACAACGCATGGTTTGGTTGGTGACTAAGAACATGTTTATAGCAAGTACAACATTTGGCCTTGCTATTTGAATTAGTTCTAGTGAGCAGTTCTCAGCATTTTTATTTATAGGAGCAAGAAAACTGAAAAGAGAAATTAATTACAGATTAACCTGAAAATCAAAAAAATCATTTACAAAGGAAGTGGTGAGAAAGGGGCCCACAATCCATAAATTGCAGCTGGTATACAGCCTTGGAAGATGAAAGAGCAAGGACCACTTCTTTAATTTGTTCTCTCTATGAGTCCCTAAGTGTCCTCTGCTTCTATCCCAATTCTGACAGAAAAAAATAAACATGAGTTCCAACAGGATTATCTCCTTTGGGACATGTGAATAAATAAAAGGCAGGAATTTTAAGGCACTACTTCTTAGATTTTCTTTTGCATGAAGATGGGAGGAATTATCTCTTTGGAAAGGTTGTCTGCCATGCCAGCATAAAGTTGAAGGTACACAGCCAACTGCATGAAGCAAAATTTGTCATAATAGAAGAATTAAGTAAGAATGGACAAGAGTAAAAAGATTTTCCTTTTCTTTTTCCCTAAAAGGGAAAAGAGAGCATGGAAGAACCTTCTATGATTGGAGGTTCGACAGATACCAACTGATCCATGGAAAATTTTAGTGAGTAAATTAATGTGCAGTTCAAATGTTGTTCGAGCGATGATGCTATGAAAAACATTTCTCCACTACCACCAACTAACTATCCATATACCTAACATTTACTTTCTCCCCACTGGAAACTTTTGTATGATTGTATTTTCTGTTTGAATACAGATGAATAAGAACTTGCCATGTTTGTCAGTATTAAAGGTTCAAATAATTTCTCGTATTGGGTAAGGGGCTTGTAAACACTTTTGCCTTTCTGAATTAAGCTCATTTGGGAAGTCCTACAAGCTTTAGGTGACACGAACCTTTGCTCAAAGCTTTTTTGCTTCAGTAAAAAGCAGCCTAAATACAATAACACATCAACTAATCTTGAGGGGTATCAATATACCTGAAAAGTACACCCCAATAGATATAATTCTCAACTGCAGCCTTGTAAATTAAGCAAGTCGTCCAGTTTTGTAAGAATTAAATTCTAAGGATTTCAAATTTTCCAATAGCATCAAAAGGAGATGGCAGTTCCAATTGAACATAAAAATTAAACTATGCACTTTTTAGTTCCCAAAAGACCAAACAGGAAAGGTATAAACAAACTTAAAAATCTCCTAAACTATATATAGATTAAACAATTGTGTTTTATACCGGATATGTTCACAATTCTCACTGTCATCAGCATCAGATAGTTTTAGACAACAAATGATTAAACTACAGAAAGCTCTACAACAGCCAAGAAATTTTTTTTTTTTTTTTTTTTTTTTTGAAACCCAGCCAATGGCCAAAATCATTTGTCTAAGTGAAAACTTTACCTCAATTGATAAAGCAATCAAGCAATATCCACTACATGCAGTTCCCTGATACCAACTGATAAAAGCATCAATTCCCCTTTTTTGGAGCCCTGCAAGAGTAAAATCCAAAGAATCAGCAATGTTCCGAGCAAGATAAACACAAATATTTTTTTGATATAAATTGCGCAGAAGAATTCTTTTACAAACAATTCACAAAGAAAAAGAATCAAAGGTGGTTAGATTGTTCAATTTTGGAGGCACTAATCCATTTTTCTAGTCAACTTGGAACACAAATTTCACACTTAGAGGGCCAACATTATAAAAAGGGAATATATGGAAACTCTGCAGATTATTAAGCGAACTATGTAAAACAAGTTAAATGAAAAAATACAAAAACACAAACCAGACAAAAAAATTCTTGAATGCACAAAGTACATATGCTCCTATATAACAGATATATTTAGTGGCCTCAAGTCAAAAAAAGATTTATTTTACAACGAACGAATAAATTTAAAGGATCCTATTTTGTTGTAAAAATTGAAATTGAAAACAGTATAATGTAATATAGCTAGCAAAGGGCTTTTTCCATACGATTAACATGTAGAATAGCACATAAGTTGGAGATTTGAACACTGATAAGTGCTTCCGATACATCATAAGTACATCACCACCATAAACATATCTTAGAAACTGCAAATATATTATGAAAAGAGATAAGAACACAAATCCCTAGCAGAAAAAATTCAAAGGACTGATCTGGAACAACCAATTGTATTAATCTAAATACACTATAATCCCAGAACTGACTGTGAAGAAAAAAACTTAATATTAAACAGTCCAATACAACAAGTTTAATGAAATATCATCAGCTTCATATCTGAGAAGGTTCAGATTTCTTCCTTCTTGTCATCTATCATCCTGCAATTGGCCTGTATCATAATGCCATCAGTAATAAACATCCCACAGCAGAGTTCTAGATATCAGTCAAAACACAAAACCATAATGAATTGGAGATGAGAAGATGACATGCAACCTGGGTATGATTGCAATTTGTGGCTTTCTTATACCATTTGGTCGCAGCACGATATTGGTAACACGCGTAGACGTGATATCCATTCCTGGGTTCTGGAAGTTTCAAAAATCCCTCCATCATCATCTCTCCCTAAACCTGCATATGTATCAGAGCTGCTAAAATGGCACATCTGCGTTTGAACTCAGCTTGGCCTAAAAGAATTAATATAGTTACTACAAAAAGAAAATGAAAATTAACCAAGCATTAAGGAAGACGGAATAAGAATGTCCAAGTGATGAATCTTTGAAAAGGAGAACGGTTTTGTTTATGTCACATCAACCACTGCAGAATGCCAAAAGCTTTCTGTGATCTGTTTACAGTACCACACGTTGAAGTAACTTTCCAAGCATTTGATTGGTGTAATCTAAATGTTACTCTGTTAATGATAATTGAATGCTAGTCTGAAGGCAATTCTTCTAATAGGCAGCATATAAACAAATTTAATTTAGTAACGCAGGTGGCGCTTTGATTTAAACTTGCAAATTTATTCTTTTTTTCATGTAACTCTTCAATATCCACATTTCATCTTACCTGCTTAATTCTTGAGGGTTGTTCAGCAAAGTTTACCAGCATCAAAAATCAACAAATTTCAAGAACCCCGAGCCAAAACCTATCAGAACGCTTTGGATATAAAATCTCCATTTAGTTGCTTTCCTTAATGAACATTTCTCAAGACATCGCTCTTTGCAAGTTCCCTCCTGTAAAAAAATAAAAAACAGAAGATAAATGTAACAATAGCACATAAATGAAAAAAAGGGCAGAGTCCACCCATTGAAGCAATGACAGAAGAGGAGGAAAGAAATCCTGAATCTAAATAACCCTAAACCCAAATTTCCATTAGGAGAATTTATCTAGAATGTAAGCATCCCCCTAGTAAACCAATATACATCATTTTTATCCTCAACACGTCAATTGTCAACCACTCATCAAAAGAACCAGAGTTGCATAAAAGAGACAGAGAGGATTAATCGAACTGCATCAGAACTAGCTCTAAACAATGAGACTTGTTGTTGTTGCTTCTCTTGAAAATAGTCCTTGGAAGATGACCTTGGAACTAAAGGTACTGGTGGCATGTGGAGAAGCAAGTAATTCTTGGATTTGTTTCCATCTGTGTGTTTTGGGGAGCGAAAGAAGAAGAATATCTATAGGTTTTAACTTTGGAGTGGACACAAACCTGGCTGGAAAATTGATCAGGAAGAAAGGATTATTACTCGCTAACACTGTTATTGGTTTTGGTTCATCATTTGGGTTCTTTTGTCTCTTTGGTCCACATCTGCACCGAGGTGGAACAGACAAATTTTGTCCTTTACAAAAGGAAATCACACTAACCTCCCAGACCCAAATCCCACTCAAAATCAAAATTGAACCGCTTTGCATTGTCAGCCTTATTTAAACCCTGCTATTTTGGTGGATGTGAGTGTGAACTAATGCTTCGATTTTCTCAGACATTAGTAGCTAAATCCGCAAAAGAGAAAAGAAAAGCGAAAGGAAGAAAACATAAAGAGGTGGACAAGACGAAGATAAGAAGAGGTACACTCCACTGCAAAAAGGCAGAGAGTTGCCCACTTGCACTCATGGCCGTTACAGGCAGAGGTATACCTGTTTCTTCGAATTTTTTTGTTGAGTTCTTTTTTTTAGTTGTTTTTCTCTCCTTTTTATCTGGTGTATATATATGCATGTTTTGTTGTTTAGGCAACTGTAGCCGCCCATTTTTCTTCTCAGTATTGAAAAGGTTTGTAATAACTTTGAATGTTTCCATTCAACTAGTTCTTCTTTCTATCATGTATTGGGTAGTTCAAGAAACTGAGACATTATAACCTTTCAGAAGCTCAAAAGAGCTTAACTGTTTAGTATATTTAAACATTACATTTTCAAAAAGAAGCTTAAGCTCTTCTGTTATGTATGATTAGTATTTTAAGGAGAATTTAATATTTTTAAAAGACTATATAGTAAAATTGAATTGTAACTTGATTAATCCTATTATACACTTAATATACACAGTTAATTAATAAATTATTTATTCAATAAATAATCAATATAAACAAAGTGTGTTTGACAGAGATTAATTAGTATGTAATAATTGATTGATAAAATAAAAAGAATTAGCTATATTTGGAAAAAAAATAAAAATATTAATGTTCAGGTTTGGTTTTGAAACGTATACGTGTGGATATATGACTTTGGCGTTGACATATGGCGATGTTGTAGGGCCTCTGTGAGAGATAAATTGCTGTAATTTAGTATGAAATTTGACTGGAAACAGAACAGAGGCTAGAATTGTATACAGAAAAACTAAGTACGCGGTATTGATTGATAAAATTAAAAGAATTGGCTAGAATTAAATAAAAAGGTAAAAGTTCAGATTTTTTTTTTTTTTTTTGTCATTAGGCTAATTAAAAAAGCTAAACCTATTACAATTACTAATTAACAAAACTAACTATCCTAAAAAACATTTTTATTTAACAAATTATAATAACAATGTTTTTTCTTTTTAAACTCTAACCAATTATATAGAATTATATTCCTATGTAAAACCAATCAAATATAAATCCAAGGATTGAATTTAATATTTAAATGCATATCTATAATATATAGATGACAAACTTGTATATAAAATTATATTGTAAACATGAACAACCTAAGATATACAACTTTTACCAATTGTCTCAAACCACAATTATCATCTCTTTTACTTCAATTTGATCAGAAAGCACAGTAGAAGTTTGATAGAAATATACCAATAAAATCAAAGAAATTGGTAGAACAAATTTCATATGATTGGTTTATATCTTCAATGCAAAATGACAGAGTCTTAGTGCTGATAACGTGTTATAAAAATATAATAAATAACAGAAATATATAGAAAATAGAGCAGAGAGAATATAGGGAGAGTAATTCTTATCCATTAGAAAAAGTGCATCTACATAGGGTTTAATGTACCTCTTTTTATAGGTACAAGATTACATCTCAAAGGTCATAATCAATACATTCGTACATAACCTTACATTCTAAGGACAAAGCCAATAACATTCCAAAAGTTACAATGGAATAATTAATAGAAATAATAAATAACTTCACCGGGAAACTAAATAGTTTATTGAGTAACTATATATAAACGGATATCCGCATTATTATGAATAATTTCATAAATATAATTCTCTTTAAACTTAGACCTTTGAGCTCTTCAGCCTCTTCAAAGTTCAGTTTTTTTTTTTTTTTTTTTTTTTTTTGTTTGACCCTTTAAACACAATCCACCTTTCTTTTCGTTGATTATTTTAAATGGTAATCTACATAGTTTTTAACATCAAAAACAAGTTTTGGTTGTGTTTATTATTAATTAACTCCATCCTATCAAAAATTTTTAAAAAAGGAAATATAAGGTTATAGTAGTTTTAATCTATTAATCTAATAATAAGGCTTATAACTAATATTTATGAATGACAATTTTTTATATATCAACATGCATTATTTTACATTTATTCTTAATACATTACAATTTATTTAAAATTATTTATGATTAGGTTCATATTTTCTAGTTAACTTTTTGTTACAATAAAACTAAATTTAATATAAATTTTGGATGATCTTTATTATAATTTGAGAATTGAAAATATATAATATGGGTAGATTGGGTAAGAGGGTTATAATCTATGAAAGTGAAACTTGTGGTAATTTAAACTTATTTGAGATTGATTGAGTCAAACCAATAACTAAAATATTAGTATTTTAATAAATATGAGATTCCTTAAACATATCAATATTGAAAAATACTAATTGTCTAGCTGCCTTTTGATTTTCAATAGATATTGTAATTTCTTTAAAAAAATAAATATGGGCATGCATTCTCACGCCATTATGAAGGTGCTTCTAATGGTCACCACTCCGAAGTGGACATATTAGACACGACCCTGTAAAGATTGAAAAGATTTCCAATGTAACCCTTGGAGTGACAGGATCAGTACAGTTACTATCTGCTTTCTCTATTTACTAATATTTATGATAATGAAAAAACTCCTCTGCCAAGTGCAAGCCTAAGGATGCTTGAAACAATGAATCTTTGTCTTCCACTCACACGCCCTTGGAACTATCCACTTATGTGCAACGCCTTGTTCTTTGTCGCCATGAAACCATAACCATCTTCCATCTTTTCCAGATCTCAAGTTTCCAATCAACACCAACGAAACCATAACTCTTTCCCTTGCCTGAAGTTTGTTCTCCGTTTCAGCCATGGAACCTTTCTATAGATGAGGAGGAGGAGACTGGGTTTTTCTCCTTCCTACTCCAACTAATTAAACCCCCTAAGTTGATCCGGTATAGTTTCTGTTTGGTTGGCATGTTTCTCAACATATAGCAGGAGTCAACTTTGGAGGCTATGAAACAACACGCTAGCAAAGATCTTTGGAATCCCCTTTAGCGGAAATGGATATTTCAGTGAAGTGGGAGCCAAACGTTTTCTCCTTCCGTTTCTAACAATGTAGTTGATATGGACAGGGCTATCTCCGGTGGTCCTTGGTTCTTTAATAAACATCTTCTTGTTTAGCAAACAGAATCCAAAGTGGTGAAAAACCCTTTGGAGATCCCTTTATTGTTTAACTGACATTTGGGTCCAAATTAGAGATGTTCCGAATGGAATTGTGGATGAAGGAACAGCTAGAGCGTTGGGTTGATTCCTCGGATCTTTTTTCTGAATAATGATTTTAAAGAAACATCTATGGAGGCCATTTTTGAATTCCTTTGCAATCAAAGTGAACTGGATATTAGGAAGCCTCTCAACGTATAATAAGAAATCAATTGTCTCTGTCTGGAGAGGTTTTAATTATGTTCATTTTCAATATGAGAAGGTTTTCCAGATTTGCTTTCTCTGTGGCCGATTGGTCCATAACAGAGTCAATTCTTGATTTCGGTTATCTAAACCAAGAGAGGAACTGATTTCTTGGCCTGGGATGATAGTATTCGTGGCTCCGGTGAGGCGTGGAGCGAGACGACCAGAGTTCCCTGGATCAGATCCTTTGGTGTCGCTGAATTTCAGCAAATTGGACGACTTAGAAAAAATTCCGACATTCTTTTGAAGGAGATAACACTGTGGTGAGAAATTTTTGTAAACTCCTTTTTATGGTACAATTTCCAAATCTTGACGAAAGCAATAACTCGATAAATGGAAGATGATTTTTTTAAAGAGGGCGGAGTTGAAGATGTTGACTTTATGTATCAGTGATGATGCAAAAAAAAGCCACGAATTATTCCTAGGACAACTCCTTAGCACCGCTGTCGTTTCTAATCAAAATGATTCTGGCATCTGATACCACTTCGACCATCAATCAGTCGGAGAAACACCATAAATCGGTCGATCTGTGAAGGGCAGGATGGCCGAAGCAATGAAGATCTTTCGTGGAACTGTCCCGAGGACTTGGGCAACCCTCGGACAGTACAAAGCTCTATGTGACTTTGTTGCAATTTACCCGCCCTGTTATTTTGTTTCCTTTGTGAACTTTAAGTTCATAAATGAAGCTTGTTGACCTTTGTTCTTTGTTGCGTTTTGATTCTTGCTTTTCTATGGATTGTTATTGGAGAGAAAGCGTGGTCTTGTTTTGCTTTGGACGAGTGGAAGTTGATGTTTTCCATATTCTTGTACCAAATATTTTTATTGATGCTATGGTTCTTTCTTCTGGTATTTCGATGTGCCTAACTGGTTTTTATGGGTTTCCAGAAAGAATGTAGAAGGCCAGGACCCTGGGACTTTGATTAAAAATTTTTATCCCGTAGGGACATAATGGTCCTTGGTTTATGTGGTTTGGGGATTTTAATAGCTAATTGGCTGATTCAGAGAAGATTGGTGGAAACCAATATCCTAGATACTTGTTGAATGGTTTTAAGGAGGCGGCAGTGGAGAGTGATTTATGTGATATTCCTGCTAAAGGCTCTAAATTTACTTGGTTATTAAAAAGATTTGGCTGAATTATCACCCGTGAGAAACTTGACCGTGCTATGGCTAATAATTGATGGTCCTGTTTATTCCAGGAAGCTTCTACGACTACGTTGGTTTCACCAACATCGGACCATGAGCCATTGTTAGTTTCGACAATTGAGAGTGAGATACCTCGTAGGAAGGAGAGGAGGTTCCATTTTGATAATGCATGGCTTCATGACGAAGATCTGGTTGGAGTAGTTCGAGACAGTTGGTACTCCTCCATGGGGTCTGATATAATGCTCCATAAAAAATCTTGTATAGACGCATTGCAAAGTTGGGGTATGGATAGGAATTCGAGATTTTGGAAGAAAAAGAACAGCTTGAAGCGTGCTATCGATTTTACTCGAGAGGTTGATCCTTTTGCCGATACCACAAGTTTAATTAGAGAGTGGGGCAATATTCTAGCGCAGGAGGATGCTAGACGAAGATAACTCAGTAAACGATTTTGGCTGCAGCATGGTGATAGAAACAGTAAATATTTTCATGCTAAAATTAAAGCAAGAACACGCAAGAATTCCATTAATAAACTACAAAACGCTGCGGGCAGTGGATTGAAAAGGAATGTGAGAAGCAGCAGCTGTTTGTTGACTACTTCACTCATCTCTTTACGCATAATGCCACCAATTTTCAGCCCATTTTGAGATTGGTACGCAGTACAATAAGTGATGAAGATAATTGCATGTTGACAGCTCCCATCTCACTTGACGAAGCAAAAGCAGTAGTTTTTCAAATGGGTCCTGATAAAGCACCCGGCCCGGATGGTTTGAACCCTGCTTTCTATCAGAAATTTTGGCCTTTAATTGGTGGGGATTGGCCTTTAAATTGCGTTGGGAGATTGGTAACTGCCTGTAAACCATTTGGCTCATCAACAAGGTATTTTCCCCAGATCTCTAAATGATACCTTAATTGTTTTTGATCCCTAAGGAAAAGGATAGGACCAGATTTTGTCACTGATTTTAGATCTATTTCATTTGTGTAACTCGGTGCCTCTACCAAGATTGTATCTAAATCCTAGCGAACCGATTAAAAATTTGTGTTTGCCAAATATTATCTCTTGCTATAGTCTGCTTTTATACCTTAGACGGCTTATTTCACTTGATAATATTTTTAATCTCCTTTTGAAATGATGCCATTCATCTTAGAAGTAAGTAAAAGTAGATTGTGGAAATTGAGCACTGAAAATGACATTCAGTTAAAGTCAGTAAAGCCTATGACAAAGTTTGTTGGGCGTATGTTTGTGCCATGCTTGAGAAAATGGGGTTCTGTGCTATGTGGGTAAATTGGATGAAGATGTGTATGACTTCTATAAAATATTCAGTTATTGTTAATGGGAATACTGTTGGATCTATTGCCCCCGGAAGAGGTTTACGGCAAGGGGATCCTATACCTAGCTACTTATTTTTGGTATGTGCAGAAGGTTTATCACTACTCTTCTTAGAAGCGGAAAGGTGTGGTAAGATTCATGGTGGTAAAGCTGGTCGAGGGTGTCCCAAAATCTCCCATTTATTTTTCGCAGATGACTCACTTCTTCTTCAAAGCATCCAATACTGAAGCCCACTAATGTTAAAGGGGATCTTTAGCTACATATGAGAGTTGCTTCTGGGTCAATCAATTAATTTTCAGAAGTTCTGGCATTACATTTAGTCCGAATACTAGCATTGACTGTGAAAGCCGGGATTCAGCCATATTCTGGGGCGTGTTTTAACCCCTTGAGGGTGGTTCTTACCTGGGGTTACCTTTCTCTGATTGGCAGGAATAAAAGAGAAGTTCTTTGGTTTTCTCAAAGAAAGAATTGGATGCATATAAATAGCTGGTCTAACAGATTTCTTTCAAGCGGGGAGAGAGATACTTATTAAGTCCGTGATTCAAGCATTGGCCCGGCTTATTGCATGAGTAAGTCCTTTGAATTGCCTCTTATGTCTATGTTGATGAGTTGGAAAAAATGATGAATAGTTTTGGCTGGGGTTCGAAGGGTTAGTTGAGAAGAAGCTCCATTTGGTTAGCTTTGGAATCGAATGTGTGGAGTAAAAAAAAGATGGGGGCATGGGTTTTAGGGATCTTTTCATTGTTTCAATTGGTATGTTAGCGAAACAGGCGGTGGCGTCATTTTGACTTCGCCTAATACTCTCCTTTATAGAGTTTTCAAATCTAAATATTTTCCGGTGATGGGAGGTTGCTTGATGCACAAAACGAAAGTTCATCACCCTAGTTTTTGTCTGGAGGGGTATAATGTTTCTAACATGGTTTGAAACATGGGAGTTTAGGTGGAGGGTTTGGCAATAGGTAGGCGCTATTTCTGTTTTGTGAAGGACCCTTGGTTACCCATTGATGGAAGCCTTTATGTGGAGGATGATAGTCTCTTTATTGATTAATACTCTCCTGGTGAAAGATCTTTTGTGGAGGGGGAGAGGCAATGGGATGTTGGCAAAAGATTATTAATCTTTTTTTCTTTGAGGGATATCCACACTATTCTTGATATTCCCCTTAGTGTAAGGAGTTTGAGGATGAGCTTGATATTGGCATTACGATAAGAAGGGTAATTTTAGTGTTAAATCTGTATTATTCTTGCCTTTGAGCGGGTGTGGGAAGGGGTGATGAGAGCATAGATGGTGAGGGGTGGGTGGGAGTATCTGGAAGTTGAATGTTGTGCACCAAAAAGTTAGAGATTTCATTTGGGGAGAACCTTGCGTAAACATTATTGGCCTACTCGTCGGGGATTGAGCAGGTTGGGGTGTGAATGTGGACACTACATTTGCCCTTATTGTGATTTTGAGGAGGATATTAATCATGCATTATTATTGTGCACAAAGGTGTTGGAGGTTTTGGAGGGTGTTAGGGTGGAGGAAGGCTTTTTACTAACCTTTCTTTTAAATCTCTTTATTTTTGCAGGTTCTTGAAGCAAAACAATAATGAAAAGTTTAGACTTTTATCTCTTATGTCGCATTGGAGTGTGTGGGATGCTCGGAACAAATTTCTTTTTTGGCAACAATTGGATTGGGACTCCCTTGATGTAGTGCTACTGCTTCTTAACTATTCGTGTGGGATGCTCGGAACAAATTTCTTTGGCAACAAATGGATTGGACTCCCTTGAATGTTAGTGCTACTGCTTCTATTCTTTTTCAAGACTTCAAGAATGCCTTGGTGAAGCCGCAAATACCCCAGGTACAAATTTTGTACGTAACACCTGCTATTACCGATCTCGGAGAGTGGAGTTGCCATGTGGATACAGCTATTTTTTCTAATATACGATCGGCGAATATAGGGGCTGTTTTTGAAGACAATGAAGGCCATTTTTTGCGTGCTATTTCCAGCTTTTATGAAGGTCAACCCTCTCCACTTATGGCAGAAGGTTTGGCTCTGCGTTTCACTTTACAGTTTATAACTCGGCATATTCAGAGTTCGGCATATTCAGAGTGCGGGTACTATCCTCATAGATTCTCAAAGTATTTTTAATGCTCTTTTGTCTAAGACTAGAGATATGAGTGAGTTGAGTATTGTTATTTCTGATTGTATATTGTTATTAGCCTCCATTCCTCTAGTCAAAGTTCGTTGGATTAGAAGACACGATAATATAGGTGCTCATTGTCTAGTTAGAGCGTCTTATCGTTTTAATCGTGTTCATGTTTGGGACTCATTTAATCGTGTTCATGTTTGGGACTCAGTGCCTGACTGTTTGATGGATTATTTTTCCTTGAGATAATATATGATACTTTTTCTCTTTCAAAAAAAAAAATAAAAAATAAAAAGTGAAATTAATCCTGTATTTATTTTCAGAAAATAACATATTTGAAAAATATTTTTCAAATTTTTAATGTTTAGAGTGTTTGAGAAAAAAAACAAATGAATAACATTTTTTTCATCGAAAGAACAACTGAATTGTTTTAAAAATAAATGCCTTTGTACTTTTAAAATATGAAATATTTTTCGAATATTGACAAAGTTAATATGATTTTATAAAAGTGATTTATTAATCTACCAAATCACATAATTAGTTATTACTAGCCAAACACCAGTCACCAATCAAACAACAATTTATTATCTTTATACATTTTTTATGACTAAAAATAAATATTTTTTGAAATATAAAAATTTTATACCTCAAAATGTTTTTGTAGTCTTTTAATATTGTAATCAAATAATAAAAAATAAATTATTAACTTTTTAAATCTTGTATAAAGATAAATTCCCAATATTATAAGAGTAGAGACCCCTGTTTAAATTAGTTGCATTACTGTCTCTTATCCCTTATTTGACCAACACTACTGGATGTGTAGTGTGGAAAATCAACGGAAGCCCTCATGAAATGATGATCAGAGCGCCCATTACAATCTCTTAGTGAAGCAGTCATCGTATTCCCATCCTATGCTCGAAAATATCTATAGTCATCGTATTGCCCTCTAAACTTGCTCTAAAAAGTCTAGTGGCCCCTCAATTTTTAAAATGACCTTGTGGCTCTTTGAACTTTGCTTCTTTTTTTTTATAATAATTCCATATTAAACTTTACTCTTTATAACAATCACACACCTTGCTATAGTAAAACATACATACTATAATACACGTGTGATGACGTGGAAAAATGCATTCAAAATGGCAATTAGTTTTGCCACGTCAAATCTGTCCATCTCATCTCTACCATTCACCTATACATCCACTCTATCATCAACACCGCCATCTTCATCTTTATCTCATCTCCAAGCACTATGCTTCCTTTCTCTCTGCTTCAAAACTTTCCTTTGCTTTCTTTCAATTCCTAAGCGAATTAATCATTTTATCATAAATCTAATAAATTTCAAGTTTTTCGATTAATTCATTATTCTTAACAAAGATTATGAATTTGATGAAGGGAGCGATAGCCAAGATAACCAGCAACGGGCAACCATGGCAGAACTAAAGCTAACTCTATAAGTGATGAAGCTGAAATAGGTGCAAACAAAGCAACCCCAACAAAGTGACTATTTTCGTTTGGTGCTATCAGATGAGTCTCATTTACAACAAGCACACCCGGATTAAAAAATCTAAATATTATTTTCAACTTTGGTTTTTTACTTGTAGTTGATGTTCTTCTTCTTCTTCGTATTCTTTGTTTTACTGTTGTTGTTCTTCTTCATATTCTTTGTTTCAAAAGTCATGGCTATTTTTTTTTCTCTTGATTTAGGAGTTTTTGTGGTCTAAATTCAAATGGGTTTTCCATAAGATTATTTGATTTTTCTATTAATAGTGTTATTTTTGTTGATTTTTCTATTAACTTGTCTAATGATTTTTATCAAGAAATTTTTTTGATTATTTTAGATATTAACAAGGTGCAATAGCGTTCTAGTACTCTTACGGACTCAAACTTTCTAACTTTGATTTTTGATTCTCAGCTATAAATAAATTAGTAATTGATAATTAATTGAGAAAATTTTTAAATTTCTAAGTGGTGTTTAGTTTA